AAATATATAATTAAAGTATGTTCAGACGATTTTCCTGACAGAGCTCTATCGTTTAAAAATCGATATTCTTCTTTAAACTTAGGCTAGAATGCTGAAAAAATCTAATAATAAATGTAAAAAAGACAACTTTTTCAAATAATAATCCATTAAATTATGTTTGAATTTAATATTAGGCTATGTTTTGTAATTGCGCATCAAGAATTGAAAAAGAAAATTGATAACTTAAAAAAAAAACTTCAGCAACAAAACTAAAAAAGTTAAAGATTTATACTAAAAATTAACTTAAACCACATCAGTTACTACAATGAAACCAGACAAATTTGTATATAAACATAATCCGAAACAAGCCGTATTATTGAATTAACTTGTATACAAACATTCATTTTAAAAATGATAGATCTTGCGACTTTTATATCGGCCTTACATCTGTCAGTATTTTTTATGAATTACATAGTGAAATATCACCAATTCAAAAGGAGATAAAGTTATGTTAAAAAAACATCTAGTGATTTTAAAAAAACATCTTCTGCCATTTTTTGAAATTTAAAAATTAAAGATGTTATAAGACAATCCCAAACAGATTTAAGAAACTAAATTATCCAGACTTCTGCTGAATTTCAAATATAACAGACTTCTTTATTGAACACCTAAAAGTTTAGACTTACAGAAGCATGGAGTGAATGCAAACATTACAACAATATAAAAACAGTATAAGTAGTTCCAAATTCATCAATAATATCTTTAAACAATTTTTAAAGCTTTGAGAGACTAAATTTCAGATGAAGAAATTACAAATCGCAACAACTATTTAGATTGCTTTCCAAAATACTCTAGTATAATGTATGATAAAGGCTTTAATATTAATGCTAAATGTTCTGAAGGTGTCATCTACCGCACAGTTATCCCTAGTTAGAAAGATGCAATTCGAACATGCATTGAAAAATTTTAACGACAAATAAACAAATAAAAAAACATTGCTAATTTTAGGATATTGTTTGTTATTAGAAGTTATTAGAAGACCAATGACATTTTAAATTTTGTCAACAGAGAATCCACTTTTAAAGATGTATCTATTTGACATTATTATTTGCTTAGCTTTGAGTAACCAATATGTTTAGACAAATTTAACATCATAAAAAATCTATTTTTATATTGATAGAATATATATATATATATATATATATATATATATATATATATATATATATATATATATATATATATATACATATATATATATATATATACATATATATATTGGGGTGCATCACCAAATTATTTTAGATTTTTGAGTTGTCTGGTATATAGTTGTGCTCTATTAGTGGAAAGATACACTGTGGTAAAAAATAATTAAAATTGCTCAATATTTAGGGGTCCCACCAGCCCGCACAAGTTTCACATACGTTAATTAAAATTATGCTCCGCATAAATTTTTTCCGTTGGATCTTTGACATTATTCATAGTCTTTGGTAGCCATGTTTAATTTTTTTAAGATTGTTTTATGATAGTCTGGCATTCAGAAGTTATATAAATAATTCAAAAGTTATATAAAAAATCATGATTTATCAACAATCATCTTTACAGATTGGTAAATATACAGTATTATTCACAATTTACACTGTTTGCTTTATTATTTGTAACTTTTATAAAAAAATTAAGAAACTGAAATTGCTTATTTGTACTGTGTATAGTGTTTAAAAGATTATCAGTCTATTCAGTTAATATATAGAACTATAAATGTGGCACAAAGGATAGTATAGCATATCATAGAATAAAGCATAGCCAATGTCAGCAATATAATTAATTTCTAAAACTATTTTAAAACATAAATGTTGAATGTTTTTGTTTTATCGTCCGGTATTTCGTTAACCCGGAGGAGATTTTCAATAAAATCTGATGTGTGTTCAAACTCGACTCGCCTAGCCTAGGTGATTTGATGTTGAAGTAGTTTGAAATTATTTTTAATATAGAAGAGTACAGTGTTTTTTGCAAGCTTTTTTCTTTTTTCTAGAACTATCATCACCATGTAAAACTGCATCTGTTGTGCCAAGACCTCAAAACACAACTCCTTTTTCAGCTTTCTTCGGCTACCAACTTGGTTACAAGTTTTAAGAAGCATGATCTACCACTGCAATGTAGCAGTAAACAGTCAACGTCCAGGATCAACTGGTGCACCATCAAGAACAACAGCAAAAATAGTGCTGAAAGAAATTGCATTGCTGTATGGAAAAGCCAACATACCAATGGTTACAGAAAAAAGTGAGAAAATAATCAAACTCTTAGATGATAACAACAAACTCCGTTCAATCGAAAAGAGCCGTCGTGACACACTGAACACAAAGAAAAAACTGGAAGATATGCAATCCATGTTGGTATCGACATTCCAGCTCTGGCCGCCTAATGTTGGAAGTCTTGTCAAGAATCCAGAAGATCTTGCATTCCTCCAGGCAATGAAAGAGGATAGAGCTGCTAGCTTTGGTGCATTTGACAAGGTATTTGCCAAGAAGATAGCCAGGCGCCATGATCGCGATATTGCAGCAGCAAAGCGTCTAAAGTATGCTCGTGATGAAATTAAAACATTAAAACTGCCTGTATCATCAGAAGTTTTGACTGAATCAGAAGACAGCAATGCTGACAAATCAGAATAGTCTGCCTATGAAGATATGGATTTGGAAGCTGACTCTGAATCAACAGATAAAGCACCATCTAAAAGAAAACCAACAGAAAAAATGGCATTTATACCTCCAAACTTGCTAAGCCGACCAAATATAGTGTCATTGGCAACAAGACTTAAAATGACACCAACCCAGCAAGCTGCATTCACCCAGCGATAGATATCTAAACCTGGTGGTGATGTTTCAATGGTTGCTTCTTTTTATGCCACTGCCGATCGTTTGAGGCGCAAGGTCGTAGGTCGTCAACAATTCAAAACACCTGGCAGCCACCTAAACTCCTCACTCTGCATTGGGATGGAAAGTTGACCCCCACTCTCAACAATCCACGTATCATTGAAGAGCGTATGACAGTGGTTGTAGGTGCTACATTACAGTTGAAACTGCTCGAAGTTCCAAGTTATTTCAAGGCGACGGATATGTCAGTCAGAGATATAATTGCTCAGTGGCTGCTGATTTCTAAAATAAATAGGGGGAAGGAGATATTTTTGTATGACTCTGGTTCATAAAAAATAGCCCCCTTCCCCAATTAATTTAGCTTCATATAATGCTGTATCTGCTTTAGAACATACATTTTATCTTAACAAGTCCCTATTGGTACTTTATTATTACTGGTAAAATTACTATTAAATTCTTATTACTACTAATGCACTTTATATTATTTTTAAGTACATTATTAAATTATTTATTATCTTTATGTTATATGAAACATAATATTTTATATGTTGCATAGATGTGTGAAACCATGTATCTTTATTAAGTATAGTTTTTGTGAAAGCTATGTTATGAAAGCTAATTATATAGTAACTATAGCTAACTTAAAACTGTTTTCTACTATTTTTAGGATCATGCACGGTAAAAAGTAAAGGTTCTTATCGGTTCCTTAAAGAACTTTTCGGTTCTAAATTTTGATTACCGGTTCTTCAAAGAACTTACGGGTTCTTAATGCTGCTTTGCGGTTCTTGAAAGCACCTTTGGGTTCTTAAGATGCTTAACGGTTTTTCAAAGAACCTTCGAGTTTTGGACTAAAGTTTCATAAACAATTTACTTAACACTAAAATTGCTAAACGGTTCTTTGAGAAGCTCACGTGTTCTTATTCTTATAGTTCGTTTTTTTTTTTCAGCACTTGTAAGTATTTTTAAATGATTATTTTTTCAATCCCTTTTTGAATGCATGTGCAGAGGAGTTGATTATAAATCTCATAGCCTGTGACATAGGGTAGCCAGCAAACTGAAAAATCAAAAAATTCTTTGACTTTTTTTTTTTTTTGATTTTTTCAAAAAAAAATTCAGAAAAATTTTGTTAGGTAATCAAATGTACCTAATAGACTAACCTAATAGACATAAAAAGTTCATGCTATGACGTGAACTTCATGTGATTTATTAGGTTATAACCTCTTTTTCTGACCTATGGGTAGGTCAAATATACCTATACTTTAGTATAGGTATTAGGTTACTATATTAGGTATCTATTAAATTACCTAACAAAATTTATATATATATATATATATATATATATATATATATATATATATATATATATATAATAATAATAATAATAATAATAATAAAAATAATAATAATAATAATAGCAATAATAATAATATTAATAGTAATAACAGTAATAGCAATAATAACAATAATAACAACAATAATAGCAATAATAACAGTAATAATAATAATAGTAAGGATAATAATAACATTAATAACAGTAATTATAAAACTTATTTATAGTTTTGTTTATAAATAGCTTCAGTAATATCTATCATAAAATTTGTTTTTTTTTTTATTTGTAGTGATTTTTATGGCTATTAATGATGTTACAATACCATTCTTTAAGTGGACTGTTGATGGAACTTGTAACTTTTTGGATTCAGTAGACCTAAGTGTTTTGAAACCAAAGTTTGTTGGTTAGTGAATATTAATTATTCTATTTTATTTTTTAGGTTTAGTTGAATGTCGAGTATTTCAAGTTTTATTTGCTCTTTTTGTCAAGTTGAAAAGTTTATTTTGAATAAATATTTGACTCGCCTTCAGATATGTCACGAAGCTGAAGCTAATTTCACTGTAGCTTGTGGACTTAATGGTTGTCCCTGTGCATACAACACAATAAAAGGTTTAAGACAACACATGCGAATAAAACACAATCAAATATATTATGCTGACAGAAATAAGACAAACGTTGATGAAAGTTTGCATTCATCTGTTAATGAAGGCTTGGAATTATTAAATTGTGATTTAGACAATGAACTAGCAAGTTCAACACTCAATCAACCATTAAACAGAGATATTAATGATTTTGTTTTTAAACTGCAAAAACATTTTGCAATGTTTGTGATTGGTTTAGGGCAAAAACATTCTATTCCAACAACTGTTCAGCTTGAAATTGGTAACGAAGTTCATGCATTAAATAATTACTTCTCTTCTAATTATGGGGATTGTCTTAAAAACTACTTGAGTAAAGCTGGTTTTATTATTGATTCCCATCATGGTCTTGTAGAATTATTCAAAAGTGAGGCTTTGTTAGACAAAGCATTCTCAGTTGTTAGTTCTGAAGCAAAAATTATGACTTACTGTAAAGCAAATTTAGGTTTTGTTGCTCCATTGCAAATTGAAATACAAGCCGACTATGATAAACAGATAGTTAACGATAGAAAAAATGATAAGAGAAATAGTTTAACCAACATTGCACAAATTATAGCTAAAATCTCTTCACAAGTTAAAACAAACACATCACAAACTATTAACAGTAACGGGTACTTAAATAATCAGAAGAAATTTTTTCAATATATTCCCATCCTAGAAGTAATTAGAAAGTTTGTTTAACATAAAGATGTTTGGGCTTCTATTCATAGAGCAAATCAGAATAAGAACCAATCTAGTGATTTGCTATGCTCATACAGAGATAGTAACATATTTCACAAACATGTTGTGTTTTGTAAGAATAAGCATGCATTACGTATTTATATGTATATAGACGAATTTAAGGTTTGTAATCCGATTGGATCACACCGCTCCACACATAAGCTTTGTGCTTTTTATTTTTTTATAGGTAATTTAGAATATAAGTATCACTCTCAACTAAAGTATATACACCTGTGTCTTTTAATAAAAAAAAATATATAAAACAATCAAATACATATGCAGAATTATAAAAACCTTTAATATCAGACTTGAATGAATTGTGTTTAAATGGCATTGCACTAACTATTGATGGTGAGAGTTTACAATTGTATGGTGCACTTGCAACTATATCCGCCGATAACTTGTCAGCTCATGCAATTGCTGGTTTTAGATGTGCTTTTAATTCTGGACACATTTGTTGCTATTGTATGTTACGGTATGAAGATAAAGAAAAACTACTGCAAGAAACTGTTTTAGCATTAAGAACTGAAACCCTCCACAAATATCATTTGCAAGGTATCAATGCTGGAATAAGTGGACGTGTATATGGATTTGTCAAAAGATGTCCATTGTTAGACCTGTCATATTTTAAGTTAACTGAATCATTTCCACCAGATTTAATGCATGATTTACATTTGGGAATTATTCCTTTGATCCTAAAGTTGTTAATAATTAATTTACATTGTGATGGAATTGTAACTGTTTCTCAGCTTAATTATGAGATTGAAAACTTTGAATTTCTAAAAAATGATAAAAAAAATAAACCAATAGTTATTCCTTTGACAGTACCATCTGGTACTGGAAATATTGTCGGCAGCGCATCTGAAAAATTTAGTCTTTTTTATTTTTTAACATTTTTGATTGGGGATCGAGTTCCTATAAACAACAAGCACTGGAAACTGTATCTATTATTACGTGATATTGTGGATTATTTGATGTGTTACAAAATCTCCAGGACTGTTTTGTCATACCTGCAGCTGCTAGTTGAATCTTTTGTTCAAACATTTGTTAAATTATATCCAGGAAAACTAACACCAAAATTGCATTTTTTGTTGCATTATCCTCGTTTAATTGCAGATTATGGTCCTCTTCGTTATTTGTGGTGCATGCGCTTCGAAGCAAAGCACCAATATTTTAAAAAACTTGCAGGTGCAGTAAGAAATTTTAAAAATATAGCTTATATCTTAGCAAAGCGTCACCAACTTCATCAATGCTGGGAGTTCGAAGCTTCCAGCTTCTTGAAAGAAATCACAGAGAGTTCAGGAGAATGTTCAATTTATTTTAATAATCTCCCAGAATGTCATCGTTCCAAAATTATTATTTTTTTTGAAGTTTCAAATTTCAGTGATTCAGAGGTTTTGTGGAAGTGCAATAAACTTACCATTGACTCTGTTAATTATAAGATTTATGATGTTGTGTTAGTTGGATCACTGCATGGAGAAGACATTCCTCTTTTTTTAAAGATTATGTACATTTATAAATTGAAAGAAAGTTGGTTTTTTATTGGAAAAGTACTTATTTGTGAACAGTTTTCTGTGCATTTGCATGCATATTCTGTTAAAGAAGATATAGAACTGTCTGTTTGTCAACCATGTAACATTATTGACCCTCAGTTACTTAATTCATATATTTTAGCTGACGGAAAAATGTATATCTCTTTAAAGTATAAATGTTTCTAAGTTAAGTAGTTGTCTTATATAAAAAATTATTAAATATGTTTTGGAAAAATTTTTGTTTTTTGAAATGATTTTCATTTTTTTAATTATTATTTAGTCTTTCCTAAACTTATATTGTTTTTGTAAATATTAAAAAATAGGATTATAAAATACGGTTGATTTTCTAATAAACTTGATTTTAATAGCTGCTAATATTGACGGCGAAACCCTAGAAGGATTTACAGAATTAATGGTAGGCGAAGTATGCAAAGATGACTTCAGACTAAGAGTAAAACTTTAGAAAGCAACAGCTAAGTTAAAAGAGTCAAGGTATTATAATTTAAGCATGTAAATTCTTAATGAATGATTTAATTAAAAATAGGTTCAATCCTTTTTTGTGCTATCATATCTGCACATTGTGTACAATTATTTGTTAATTATACAATTTTCTCTAATTACAAGTACATCAGATTTTCTTGTAATTCCTGGTGTAAACAATCAAAATGATGCCAGAGATGTTGTTGTTGCAGTCAATAATGACAGGTCGTCATCTTTTGGTAACTGGCCTAACAGGTATCCTCTGCCATCATTTCCAAGACAAGTTCAAGATGCATTAAACAAAGAGGATAAAACAATAATTTGTGCTGCACGCACATGTCTACGTACACAACTTATACAGTCATTATTTGAGGATATTACCTCAAAATACACGTGGTGAGAAAATTATGTTCTAAATATTACTGTTTCATTTCTTTAGAAATATTTGCATTTCCTATTGTTGGTAAAGTTTGACTTTACTTTGTGTAGTTTGTTGTTTTGAGATATAATTTTATTACAATTTTTGGCAGTGTTAAATAGCTTATAATTTTGTTTCTTTATAATAATTTTTGTTCGTTTATAATATTTAGGTACCCAAACAGCATGCAATATTTAGAGGTAATCAGTGCTTTATGTGCCAAATATAGTTACTTAAGTGATTACAGCATGCCAGGTTGCAAAAAAAATGGTTCGCCCAGTGTAAGTTTCTTGAATTGTTAAAGTTCCTAAAAAATTTTATTCTAATTTGAGTTAAACAATTGATTTATTTTTAGGTACAGCAAAGTGACTTGAAAAATTGAATAATAGTATTACATATTATTGCATAGTTTGTCAAAATTAAATTTGTTTTATTGTAGTTTTTTTGCACATTGTTATTTTGCAGTAACATTTTAAATTGCATTTAGTCGATACTGCTAAAAAGTTTAAAAAATAAATTTAAAAGAGAACGAATGCCATTGATTAACAATGAAGATGTATTTTTGGCAAAGAAAAAATTTGGCAAAAAAGGTATGGAAAAAAACATAAACGTGTTGAAGACAGTAAAATAGAAGAAAATGAAAAACACCGAGACAAATTCAACTAACAGTATCTTTTTTTTTTGATTTTATAGAATATTTATTTAGAATTTATTTGCTTCGTGTATTTTGTTTCTTTCCTATTCAAAAAAGTAATAAGATAATAGATAACTTGACATTTAAACTAGAAAAAAATTAAATTAAATTTAAAAGCAACTAAAGTTGTATATTTTAGTGTAAAGTATAAGGGCGTGAATGTGTTGAAAGGCTATCCAATTTTCTACTGTAAATAAAATAAATATGTAAAAATTTTAAAGTTTACATTTTTATATTACAATTTTAAAGATTTACTTTATTTTGTATTATTTTTTATGAAACATAAACGTTTGTATTCACCCCCCTATTTACCCGCAAGTTGCATGCAGTGAATAAGATTGTTTTTAAAAAAAGAAACTTTTAACTAACTGCAACCTATTGTATTGTTTATTTGTATTTTCAAGATGCGCACAATCTTTTATTTTATTTTTCTGTGGAAAAATTAAATAACCATGATTTTTGTTTATTTGTATCTTTTTTTGTTTTGTTTTTTGTTTTAGATAAAATTGTAATTCTTTGTATAATAGATTATGTAATTAATATTGTAATAAATAATTATGTTTTATATTCTAAGTAAAAGTAATTTGCTTGATTATTGCTTAATCTCCATAGTACTTTCCACTGATGGAGGATGAATTAGTAGATGAGGTTGGTACAATGCTTTTGCTAGATGAAATGCTGCAGGAATCTTCAAAGATACGTCCAAATTATGAAGTAATGTTAAATCGACAAAAAAGAACTTGCGTGCATAGAACGAAAGATATACAAAATAAGTCTACCATTGACAACATGGCAGCATATCCTTGGATGAGTCTACCAAAACTAGTATGTTTACTTTACTTTTGCTGTAACTTTATATATATATATATATATATATATATATATATATATATATATATATATATATATAACTGTAATGATAATACTCAACTCTGTTACATTGGTTAACTCTTGCAAGGTATGATCCTTTGTAAATAATGGTTTCAAATTTTGAAAATAAAGTTTTCTTCAATTTAAAAGATAAAGTTATTGAAAACCATCAAAGCTAAACAAGTCTAGAACCGTGAACTAAAATCTACATTCAGGGGCAGGGCAAACTTAGTTATGGCGCCTATTTCCTCCAGTAATAGTGGCATATAAAAAAAAATTTATCAAAAAAATTTGCCTGGTGAGCATTTTGGTAATATCCCAAAACCCTGCCCCCAAGCGGCAACCCCCGGTGCAGCTTCCCTCCCAGAGACGGCCTTGACTGCATTAATAATAACTAATACTTGTAATCTTTCTATTTGTAGGTTGTTTTTAGATTTATAGTATGCTTAAACATTTTTTTTTTAGTTATTGCTTGTTAAATGTCTATCTTCAAATACTGTAATAGTTTTTTCAAACTATAGATTTTGGCTGAAGTCAAGATTTTATTCAACAAAGACTTGGATAGAGAGCTGCGTGTATCTTTAGCACGCATTGCGAGTAAAGTATTGGATATTGTTAGCAAGAAGAAAGATCAGTTGCTTTCAAGCATTCTTGCTACAATAGAAGGCGAGCAAGATGAAGTAAAAAAGAAAGGGTTAGTTTTATTTGAAACTATAATTTTTTTTTACTAAATCTAACATATATACCCAAATTATGCATTGTCAACATTCATATATTAACATTACAATAACTTAAATACTTGCATTCGTCTTGCGACATTGTGTGTTTACTAGCCCTAGATAAATAACAAAGTAATGTCATTTTTTTACATATTATATAAACATAACTAAAATAATTACTTCAAGTAAATACTCTCTGTAAATTATAAGGTATTTTTTTAACATTTATTTTTTTATATAAGTAAAAATAATACACAGCTTTTTTTTTAATTTAAGTTGTGTTTTTAGAAAGGATGATGAATACTGCCGTTTTCATGCTTCCGCGGTTATTCAAAGGAGATTGCAGCGACCATCTATTCGTTGCGGGTAAAATGCCGGTAGTAAATTCGCCAACCATTGTGTTTGACTTTGGAAACGAAAATATGGCTTCATCTCCAAAAATAACGATTGTATTAGACTATGTCGAAGTAATGCGCAATGACTTCGGCACAGACAACGTTCTTGCTTTAGCATGTTTGATCGGAGTTCATTATCTGTATAATGCGAAATATCATCCAAAAATTTCAAACACACTGAAATTTGTGCAACATGCATTAATTGGTTTGTCAGGTGAAAGCGACGATTTACCAATGCCTGTACGCCGTGTTACAAACCTTTTAATGAAATGAACTAAATTATTTTTGCGATAAATTTAATATTAGACTTATTTATGTATTGTGTTAATTAGTTTTGCAAAATATTTTAATAGTAGTAACTCATTGGTTTTTTATGAAAACAAATCTTTTTTTTTTCCCAAATAGTTTTTTGACGCATTTTTAGCGATCTTTAAAAATTTATTTCAAATTATGCTTAGAATTTCAAAAAAAAGTTCTTCCTATAAGTTCTTTGCTAAAACTCAATTTAAGGTTTTAGTGAAGAAAAATAAGGTTTTAGTGAAGAACCATTGATTAAGGTTCCACCAAGTACTCTTTTTTAGAATTCTTGGAAAGAACCTTAAAAAAAGGTTCTTATAAGAACTTTTAGGGTGCCCCGTCAGCCTAAACCATTAAAACCCTTTAAAGTTCTTCGGAGCATACCCTTGTTCGGAGAGTGTGGTTTAAGTAAAGAAGCTGTTGCAAGTGTTAATAATTTTTTTAAAGAAATGTTTTCTACTGCAAATTTTCTAAGTAACTATACTCTAAAAAATTACTACAATGATTATAAAAAGAATATTTTGGTGTCTAAGGAAGGTGACCATTTTAGTTATGTTATCCTTGATATGAAGCAACAACTGAAAAATTGGCATCTATTGCCAAGTTATTTATCTTCAAAGCATGTAAGCAAAGAAAACAGCAGCAAAATTGATCTTTGTGTAAATTTTGATGGTAGTGCAGTGGGCAACTCTTCACAACTGTCCATGTGGCCTATCTTGGCCACATTAAAGCAACTTTTACCAAAAATCAGAAGTAGCTATAAGAATATGATATTAACTGGTATATGGGTTGGAAAAACAAAGTATGATTTTAAAACAGATAGTTCTTATTATTTGAAGACAATTATTTAAAATATTTGTGAACAAATTTCCTACTGAAATAGAATTTCGAGGAGCAATAATGAAAGTAAATTTTTTGTTCTTAATTGCTGATTTATCTGCAAAAGCTAATATTTTGCATATGGTGCAATACAATGGTTACTTTGGGTGTACTGTGTGTCGAATTCCAGATGTTCATAAAAATCACAGACATCTGTATATCAGTAACAATGAATATGAGCTGAGAACAGATGAAAGTCACCAACAAGACATATTAAGTAAAACTAATGGAGTAACTGGTTTATCTGTCTTGCATAAATTAATGAAAATTCCAACAGGTGCACCAATTGACTATATGCATAGTGTCTGCTTAAGTTCAGTTAGATCATTATACTTTTATTGGAAGACGTTTCAAATGCTTAATGAGACTGACATAAATAAAATGAGTCAAATTCATTTATCTTTTTTGATTCCGAGCTCAATAAACAGACCTCCACAGTCGTTTAAAGAAGCTAAAGATTGGAAAGCATCACAATGGAAATTTTTCCTCTTGTACACTGGGCCGATTGTATTGCTCGATTTTCTCCCAGCTAAAAGCTACCTTAATTTTTTATATTTATCAAATGGTGTAAAAAAATGTCTGAAATCCACTAATATAGAGCATCTTCAAAATGCTAAGTTTCTATTAAAAAATTATCATAAATATTTGTCTTTATTATCAGAAAGTTGTTATACAATAAACAACCACTTACTTTTACATTTGCCGAATCAAGTTAAGAAAGATGGTATTTTATCAGAGGTGTCAACATTTAGCTTTGAATCGGCCATGGGCAAATTGCGCAGGTTGATAAGTGGTCCAAGAAACATTGTTGGTGAAGTAGTCCGAAAATTTATACAGAAGCAAATTATTAAGAAATTGAAATTAAATATAGATTCTAGCGTAAATAGTAGCATAAATTCTTAAGGAAAATCTTTTACAACTGAAATTTCCACAAATTCTTATGCTAGAATAATTATTAATGGCAAACAGTTTAACTCTACATTGTATAAAAGAAATGGATATCGTTCATCAATGCATTATGCTCAATTGAACAATAATAATCATGTTATATGTAGTTTTTTTTATTTTGATGGTATATATTGGATCGCAGCTGTAAATGAGCTTTTAATGGTACTAACTTAAGTGATTTTTATGAATCAACATTTGACCATACTGCTCACATTAAAGTATATAGTGGAAAGTCATTAGAAACCAAATATATTAAGTGTGAAAATATAAAAAATAAATGCATTGTTTTAGAGAATTGTGATATGATTTATGTCATTAATTATTTAACTGAGTTTGAGCATGACTAAGTTTTTGAACATCGTTAAATAAATGCAACGTTTTTAACAAATATTTGTATTATTTTATATTAAACAGACTTTTTCATATTATTAAAGGCTAATACAAATGCTATACTTACAATAAATTATCTTGCCTGTAGTTTTAAATTCTATTTAGTTTATTATTAATGGAGAAGCGAATGGTAGCAAGCAATAGGCAGCTAGTAAATTTTAATGATAAGTTATTGCTGTTTTTTGATAAAGAACAACAATTTTCTATTATTTCAAGCAACTCAAATATTATTTCAACTGGATCTGTAACTAAACCTGGTAGCAAAATACAAGTAAAATATAACAATCAATTTTATGATTCAAAAATTGTGGCCATTGGAGATGAAAACTTTATTACTTTGAAAAAGGAACCCCTTGAAGAAAAGTTGCAAGAAATGAGTGTGCATGGCCTAAGTTTCCTTAACGAGGAAGAAAGTCTGCAGCTTCCTAATAAGCAGGTGTGATTACTGACAGCGATTAAAGTTAAAGTTCTATCCAGGTCACTACGTATATACATATATATATTTTTTTTCTTTCAGATTTATGTAGCAACACCGACACATAGTTCTCCAGAGGTTTAAGATCAAATGCCTTATAAGAGAAGAAAGACAGATTCACATATTGAGGAAATTCCTGATGATTTGATGGTGAGAAAACTGTAGTTTTAGATAATTTAAAGTAAACGAAATGTAATGAAAAAGTAGGTGTATGTATAACTTACTCTAATTTAATGCAAGTTTTATTTAAATTTCATTTGTTTTAGGAATATGGTGAAAATGTTGGTCCAGAACTTAAACTTGTAAATGTCCTAGAAAATTTGAGTTAATTTTTTGAGAAAATTTGAGTAATACTATTTTAAGTATGACAAAATTAGTTGATAATCTTGCGGCAGAGCAAACGAAAACAAGATCTTTACTCAAAAGCGTAAGATGGCAACCTTGATTATTTTAGCTATAAACAAAATGAGATTTAAAGATGTAAAAGGCGATCCACAAGGTTTTGTACATTGTTTAGATAATAATAATTTACCACGAGGTCATTCTTAGGTATATTGTGGAAACAGACTTTACATTCTTTTCCATACTTGTTTTATTTTATTAAAGCATCACAGTAAATTTAAGCAATATCTTACAATTGGAACAGTAAAGTGTAAAAGTTTACAAGCAACTTTTCGAACAGTATTTTGTAGTGCAACCGAAATCAAACAAAGGTGTGTGCTTGCAGTATTTGGAAAACTTCTTACTGGACCCTGGATGAAAAAGTTTTATTTTACATCAGAGCAAATCCAATCTAGCTGGTTTGTTTGAAAAGCAGCTAGAACTAAATATTTTAGAATCAGTAACAAGTTTATGCTCCGTTGATGAAGTTGATTCAAGTTTATGCTCCGTTGATTAAAATGACTTCGGCATGTCTTATTGCAATAGAAGATGTTTTAAATAGACAATGTAGTAGATATTTTTTACTTGTAACGGAAACAATTAAGAAGGAAACAGCTAGGACAAGGCTTCACAATATAGATATAGAGGAATTAATGGGTATGTTTAGCGATGCAAAAGTACGGGTTCCTAATGCAACAATTTGCTCTATCTCTTACAAACTATGGTCAAAAAAGAGTAGAACTGTCGACAATCTAGACACACTAGATTTAAGTTTAAGAAAAAAGATTTTTTTGAAAGTCAAATAATGGTCATAAAAATATATTTACAAATCAACTGCATCGATGCAAAGTAAGAGAAGAGATTTGCCAAAGACAAAAAATCAAGCGCCAAAAAATGGATTGAAAAGATAAAAGAAAGTTAGAGCGCGAGCTACCTAAATTGAATTTTAACAAAATTATTAATTCATACAAGCATTTGTCTAATGACCAACTATTTGATTTAGAAGTAGTCATGTCAGATAGAATTGTTCGGAAGAAACTAGGACATGAATAGTACGATTTAAAAACATGCAAAAGTGTTTTATATAGCGGCAGAGTAGAAAAAATAATTAAAAGAAAAAATGACTTAATTTACAGCATTTCTTACTGCAAAGATGATGAAACTGATATTAAAGCTGTTGACTATTGCATGAAAAATATCCATCTTGCTGCTGATGTTGTTTCCGGTGAGTAACAATTTAATTAATTTAATAACACAGCAAGTGCTGTGACTTGATATATAATACAGCAAGTGTTGTGAGTTGCCTAAATTATATAGCAAGTGTTGTGACTTGCCAAAAATGTAAAGCAAGTGTTGTGACTTTCATAAATAATACAGCAAGTGCTGTGACTTGCATAAATACACCCAGTGTTGTGAATAGCTAAAAATGTTTAGCAAGTGTTGTGACTTGCATAATTAATGCAGCAAGTGTTGTGACTTACATAAATAATACAGCAAGGGTTGAAAGTTGTTAAATTTTATGAGACGGCTCTGGCTTACCTTCGCTTGGTGTCTATCGATAAAAATGATTACAATATAGTTTCATTGTTGGAATTAATCATTTTA